GGGGGGGGGGGACTTCTGCTTCCAAGCAGCTCACTGCCTCATCCTCTTTCTTAACTCACAGCAGGGCGGTTTTGCTGTGAGTCCAATGGCTCTGGGTTTGGGAACACCCTGGTATAAGTCTTAAACCATCTACTCCAATGTCATCCCAGACTTGGGCCTTGTCTATTCTTCACCCATCCCAGAGAAAGGTGTGGTCTCAGGGCACCCTGATTCCCTCTAAAGCCCTCTCACTGGATCCAGGAGATGCCCAGGCTGCAGAGTAATCTCATCTTCAGTAGGTTGCTTGGCTGCAGGTGGCTGGGGAAGGGGATTCTCCCAGACACTTGAATAGCATGGAATGGGAGGAGGTACAGGCGAGTTATGGAGGGATCCCCAGTATGGTAAGTCCCCCATCCTGATGCTGGAGTCCTGGAGGGAAAACAGGGTCCAGGACCTCCCATGGGCATATTTTAAGAACTGAAAGAGTTTTTAGGCTGGGGAGGGAAGTGGGGCAAGGACCCACAGGAGAGGGGAAAAAGACCACTCTCCTTTTGCTTGCCTCCCCCCTTCCCCCATCCCCCATCTCTCCAGGCAGAAATGAAACAAAGTCATGAAACCTGACACTTGAACTAGAGGCCTGGACGGTGCAATTACTGCCTGAACAGGGCTGGAACTTTTTTGAAAATTCTCCAATATCCTACTGGCCTTCTGATCAAGAGGGAGGGGGAGAAGAGAAAGGGAGGAGGAGAGAGGGAAAGGGGGAAGAGGGGAGAGGGGAGAGAGGAGGGAAGGGAGTCCTGTGTTTTAGGTATGTGGTTGTCTTTGCAGTTGGGTACCTGTTTGTACATTGATGTTTCTGGGAGAGTCATTTTGCACGGTGAGTCTTTGTTGTATGTTTAGTTGTGTATACCTTTGTAGGTATATATCAGCCAGTTGTGCCCTGTAACTGTGTCTAGGGGTTGTGTGTATAACGGTGCTTGTAGCTATGTGGATAGGTGGAGCTGGCTGGGTACAATGAGCTATTGACTCTCTCGTCCACTGCCCTTGCCTGGACTGTCCTGGGCCAAGCTAAAGATAACCCACCTACCTTTGCCCATAGGGACCTTTCTCAGTTGGGCAAAGTTCTTTCCTAGGGAGTCCCACTTACGCGTATCCACTCTCCTGACCCTGGGTGACCAGCTGCAGGAGACTGGGGAGGTGGACTGGTTACATACACCCTCCCCTAAATGCTCCAGACCCCCACCTTTGGGAGGGGTACTGGGAAGTCCTGCCTTTAGCTCTCCTTTGGGGAAACAGCTAGGGCAAGCCCTTGCTCCTTCTCTGCCCCCACAAAGTTCCCTTCCAGCTTGCAGATCTGGCCCCAAATCCTTTCTCCTTCAACCTAGGAAACACCCTGGGCCCTATTCCAGCACACCCTCTACTGCCTCCTGGGCCTGGCAGGACCGCTCTCTGATTTCCTTCACCCCTTCCTGAAGCAGCCCACTGCATCTGTATTTGAAGAGTGATTCTAGACCCCAGCTCTGGAAAAATCCCAAGTAATGAACAGATCAGGGCTAGGTGGAAGAGGCAGTCCTGCTGGCTTCCAGCCCCTTCTCACAGCCTAATCCAGCCCCAGAAGAGGCGTGGGAGTGGGGGTTCACCTGCTCAGAGGGTATCTTTTCAATCCCATCTCTCCTGCCCCTTTCACTCACTCACTCACTCACTCACTCACTCACTCACTCACTCACTCACTCACAGATGTGTGTTCTTGGGCAAATAAATTTATACCTCTGTGCCTCAGTTCCTTCACCTGTAAAATGGAGATACAAATGTACTTAGCTCAGCGAGTTGTGAGGATTTACTGAGATAATGCATATAAAGTGCTTAACCCGATGCCTGGTACCTAGAAGGTCTCTGTTGACCCACCCTTTCTGTTGTCTCTGGGTGTCAATCTCAAGACACCCATCCCCAAACTCCACCTCACCCCATTGTGCCCACTTTCCCCCAGGAATCAGACTAGCTGGGAGGGAGCTTGGGGAGATTACTGACATTTGTGCTGCAGTTTCCATACATATTTTTTCATTCTATTCTACATTCCCTTATGAAATAGCTATTATCATTATTCTCCATTTTACAGATAGTGATAAAAGGAGCATCAAAATGGTTAAATAACTTGTTCAAGGTCACACAGCAGGTAAGGGGCAGAGACCAAGTTTACACTGAGCCAATGGCTCTCTCCCTTCTGCCCCACTGCCACTCAGAGGGCTGGGTTTTTAGCATCCTAGGACCTGAGTGCAGGGGAAGATTTGGAGGTCTGGTTAACAGTTCTGCCTAAAATCATATAGACAAGTGGGGCCAACCAGGGTAATCCAAATCTGTGCCCATGTTCACATAGCTGTAAGCCCAGCTTAACCAGAACTCTAGTGTTAGAGATTTTCTCATTTATAAAGCTGTTTTGGAAAGACCCCTACATGTGGAAGGCATAGTTTAATACACACCAGAAAACTAAAAGTGAGAGTCCTGAGTTCAGAGAAGAAAGCTGACATAACCTAGCCAAAGGAAAGCACATGGGTACTTTTCCTTAGTTTTTGGAAAAGAAAATTAAGCTGACTCCGCTTCCAGCTATGATCCAGCTGCCGGGTTTTCCAACGCCCCGAGCACAGCGTCTCGCGAGGTCCCCCCTGAAGGTCCCCCAGCACTGCGGAGGCTGGGGCCCAGGTGGCCGTCCGTTCCCCCCGTCAGCGGCCCCCCGCAGGCTCCGCCTACTCCCGCCCAGGCCCCGCCCCGCGGAGCAGGGCACCCCTCCACTCGCGGACTCACTGGGGTGAGCGAGCTGCTGCGCTTGGCATTGTGGCAGGCGGCGGGGACCCGTGAGGG